CGATTTAGCGGATACTAATTAAAAATCTCGGTTTTACGGATAAAGTTCAAAGAACGGTTTCATAATAAACCTTAATATTAATAAAAACCTTCTCGATATAGCGGATATCTCGGTTTAACGGATTTTTGGAAATTTGCCCAAACTATCCGTTAAATCGAGGTTCACTGTGTAATAACAAAAATCCCTGTTTGTTATATGAATATATAACTTGACAATAACATTAGAAAAAGAACATAATTTAACCCATGATATATACTAACATTAAAAATTTTGAAACTGTCTACTTTAATGAAATTAAATTTTACCCGATTAATTTATAATATTCATATTAATATTAATGATAATAATAGTAATGAATTTTGTTTGACGTGTCCAATTGCAAGTATAAGTAGAAATAAATGTAAAGTTTAAAATTTTTCTTTTACATTTATTCCTACATAAATAACAACGATTAAAATATTAGATAGTATGGGCATGCAACAATAATATACAAATTGTCAAAAAAATAGAAGAGAATTGTAAAGAGATATATTTAATATTATTAAAGGTGTCAACGAATTGTGATTTAAAATCAATATTACTACATATTAACTATAAATAAATTTTGAATATGATGTGTAATAGAATTCAGGCATCCTTTTGGATCTAAGATCACTCAATTAGATCAAATACTTAACAAAATACAAAAATATATGGCAATAGGTAAAGAATTATTATATTTTTTGAATTTTAAATACAATTTTCTAGCCTAGTCTTAATCCTGTATGGTGCGGGCCACTCTAACACATCAAATATAGTGGTTGTATCCGTTGATTATCCGGACGTTTGAGTACTTGGTCAATCAATAAAGCTCAACATCCGGATAATCGGTCAGTCAATAAAACTCAACACCCGGATAATCAGTCATTCACCGAATATCCGCCGAATATCCACTGAATATCCACTGAATATCCACTGAATATCCGTTGAATATGCATTTTTTTTTAAGAAATACAAATAACAACGGACCAATTTTATTCTAATGGTTGACATTGTGTGTTTCCAGCTTCATAAATACAATCAAACCTTGTCGCAGCGGATGAATGAAGATTTATTTAAAACCCGTTGTGGCAAGATTTACTGAACTTGCCACAATGTATTTTTATGTTTTTATATTTAATGTAAATGTGAAACAAAATTTTATAATCATAGTCCGCTGTGACAAGGTCGCTCATTTGGAGCAGAAGTTACTGCAATGCATAAATATTCTTTAAATAATAATGACACAGTTAGTATTCATATTACTTGATATATCATTATAATAGAAATAATGTTGGTGATAGTGCAATAGTGGATAAAATAGTATTAACATGTTAATGTATTCTTTCAATTACGCGGATAAAAATTTTTATTTTTTATTTATTTCTGTACCGGTGAAAATTTTCAACACCCGATTAATTAATCAATGAAAACTTTTCAACACCCGATTAACCGGATAATCGGTGAATAATCGATGAATATCATTCGGCGGATACAACCACTAATCAAATAACCTTAAAGATAGGTAGGGAAATATTGAATGCTTCTTAACTAAAAAAAATAGAGACGATGTTTGATAGCTATTGACTAGTTCTACAATTCATCGTCAAGATAATTTTAAAAAAATTATTAATTCCAGAATTATTTATTAGCTTTTAAAAATTTCAGATAAACTTTAAATGGAAATTTTTATAAAAACACACGATTTTTAAAAGCTAATAACTCTGGGACTAATAATTTTTTAAAAATTATCTTGACGATGAATTGTAGAACTAGTCAATAGCTATCAAACATCGTCTCTATTTTTTTTAGTTAAGAAGCATTCAATATTTCCCTACCTATCTTTAAGGTTATTTGATGTGTTAGAGTGACCCGCACTATACATTACTTTCAAGACAATTACAAATTCTGTTCAGAAATATGGAAAACTTCAAACAGAACATAGACTGGTGATTAACTCAAAGTTGTGATGTAGCACATACAAATTTTTATGTTGCTGTATATACATTACTAATCCATAAATTTACCATTTTATCATGTTAGTAACATTTAAAGGTGGAAACCGCAATTAATTGCAACTAGTCACAATCAATTGAGGAGCCATATTTAGTAGACCACTTGAAAATTTATTTATTAATTGAATTTATTCAACAATTTATCCAAATTTTATCCATTTTACTAATTAATTATTCAGTAAATGCTCAGTGAACTTTATCCATTTATTAATTAAAGAATACAGTAAATGTTCAGTCGTTTATCCATTTTATTAATTAATTGTATATGTGAATATTATTGTTGAGTTATTCCGTGATAATCGCTTCACTTTGTATTACTATTACATGTAAATCATTTCCGATTTATATGTTAGTTTCCCGTGATTTATAATTTACTATTTTACAGTAGCTACCAACAGCTATTTATGGCAATGGTAGCTACCAGCCCAATCATTTATGGCAAGTGTCTTTAGATATAAATATCAGAAAAGCCTTAGTATTATATCTAACTGAGAGTCTGAAGGATATAATAGGTCATTATAATGTACTGAGAGCCTGGAACAATACAGTGTGGAATCTCTGATTATCTTGGGACCAAGAGTCTGAACCAATATATTAGAGTCACTAGAGGTTTAGTAGCAAAGAAAAATACATTAATAGTAATATATAAAGAACATCAAATTGTCCCAAAAGTTTTGAGGGTGTTTGCTAAACCTTTAGCTAGCAATTTTGCAAAGATATTGAAGTAATCATGCCAAATTTGGCAAACTAAAACAATAAAATTATTGAAAAAAAGAGATCAATAGTTGATTTTATCAAATTTAAAAAAAAAAGATATTACAGTAATTAGATAATTCTTTTTCCAATAAAAATTTTTGAAGTGCCATTAACTATCCATGCAAAGGAATTCTGTAGTAATTGTAATTAAGAGAGCTTATCATCCTAGTTTTTGTATATTGCTATCTTCAAATTGTCTTTAGCAATTTTACAATCATTTTGAAGCTTTTGCAAAAGAAAGATACTGCCATCTTTTTTTCCTCTTAATTCATTTTGCAATTTAGTAATTTCCTTGCTACTTTCTGTTAAAGCAACGTTTTTCTCCTCTTCTTTGCTTTTAGTAACAACAATAGTGTAATGTCAATTCGTTAATAATCCATTAGCAACATTATAATCATCATCATCACTAATATTCAACAATATCATTATTGTTATTATTATTGGTTTTTAAAAAATTTTTTTTTGATGTTTGATTTGAATCCAAGCTATTTATTGATTAATTAATTAATTAATTAATTATTGAATTTAATTTCTTAAATTTATTTATTTATAATAATAATAATAACAATAATAATATGAATATGGATAACAACAATATGAATATTATTGTAATATAAATTTATACAATTTTTTCTAATTCTCTTGCATAGTGAAGTGATTGTCTAATAATATTAAATGATGGTATTTCAACTTGATTATCATCTTTTGTTGTAAAATAAATTTTCTTTTCCTCTGGATTAATTTTCCATCCACGCTTTACATATATAATTATTAACATTGATGATAATAATATTAATCATAATAATAACAAAAATCAGTTTCCCAAAAAATAAATTAATGCCCTTCAAACATATATATAGATAATTACCTCTGTTGCAAAATTTGAAACTTCATGTTGATTATTATTATTATAAAATAATAACGTTGCTGCATCTGATAATGGTAAATTATCATAGGCCTTTTCACTACAACTAGCAATTTCACTTCTACAATAATGATAATAATAAATAATAAAGTCATATAATAAAATATTATATTTATATGTATATATTACTGACCTAATGGTTTCCATTAAAATATCAATAAAAAAAAGATATTCTGGCGCAGGAACTTTATCTCTGGAATTCCAAACTTTATTGTAACTTCCTTCCATGAGATATTGTTCCAAATGAACTGGATGTTTAATATAATCATTCTCTAAAAGTTGCTCGGGTTCAATATTCTCTAATGCTGTATGGAACTCTGCTATACGATTTTGCGATAGTAGACGGAGTAAATTTAATCCAATCAATGGATACATTTGTGGTGAAGGTGGAAGTAATGAACTAAATAAATAAATAATTAATTAATTAATAAGTAATTATGGAGTTTACATTTAAATATAATATATATAAGCATTTATGCATAATGATAAACCTATAATCATTATAATATGTATTTAATTGAGAAATATATCTCTCAAATGATGGAATATCTTTAACACAAACACTCCGAAAGGCTCCTATTTCTAAAATATCACCTAATGTTCATTGTGTAATAACAATAATTAGCTGATAAATATTTTCCTAGAAAACAATTTCTTTTTTTCAAACTTACGAGCAGTAAGAAGCTGTTTAATATCTGCTAATTCTCCTTCAGGAAGTAAAAGTTGTATTTCTGATAATAAAATCTGTACAAAAATAACAATATTGTTATTATTTTCAACAATCATGTATGACGTTTTGTGCCACTAACTTTAAGTTTTGTTAGAAATTCTCCACATTTTTTTAAATTCCTATTAGGGGATTCCCATTCTTTTTTAAGAAGACCGTAAAGTTGTGATGTTTGTTGAAAATTTGACATTGTTTTTTTAATGAAAAAATTTTTTTTGATCACGATTTATTTATAAATTAATGATCATCTGTTTTACCAAGTTTATAAACATGTATATACGTAGTGGCCACCCGATCCAAGGATCTGCAATAAGATGTATCCTTGATTTTTGTGTCTCAAATGTTAAGGATCAACCTACAAAACTCCATCATCATTAACCATCAGGACAAGAAATTTAATTTCTCATTCTTATAATATTTAATTCCATCCAATAAACCAATATAAATTAACATATTAATATATAGAAAGTTGCATTTAAATACAACCAAGTATTCTGAACTTCACATAAACTTCATCCATTTGCTAGAAATCTAATTGCACTTGAGAAAGTTTAGGGGAGGCTTGATTTGCAATGTTCCATAAATCAAGCAAGAGGGTTAAAAATTGATATATAATCATTAAATTCGTGATATCAAAATTTGAAAGTAATGAAAGACAGTCAATCAAGTCTAGTTATAGTGATACAAGAGAGGAGAAGAATATGGTTCATTGACCTTATGGTATGAAAATATAATAAAGGAGAATGATTTATTTCAACATATTTTATCATCAAAGAATTCAATGACTATACAGATGATTTTATATGTGAATGGGTAGTTTGCATGAAAATTTTGATGATTGATTCAGACAGTTATTGGAATCAAAAAACAAATATATTACCAACACTAAATTCAATTTCATTAAAATATATTTGGTTGTCTGTATCTGACAAAGGTCCTTTCCAAATTATAAAAGTATTTTAGGTGATAAATTCATGGCTTTAAAAGAAGATTTAATTTTCCTGGATAACCGATATAATAAAATTTTATATTATCTTTAATGTATAATTTTGGCTCAAAAATTATGATCGCATAATTTGGAAAAAACCATAATCTTTTCCAACATCGCGAAATATAATAAAATGCGTCACCAATTTACTGTATAACGAAAAGTTTTTATAATAATGGTATCGATTATTGGTTTTCAAATCAAATCTTGATTTATGTAATAAGATAATCCAAAAGAACAAACTTATCAACAAAGTTAATACTAATCGTACCATTAAGTTATTTTATTAGAGCTGCTGATAGTGGTGATGTATAGTTTAGGCGATATTTATTTGAATGCTAAATTGAATGGTAACGAAAAATAAGAGAGAACTTCGTTTAATAAATAGTTTTGTATTATTTACAGTATTGTAGTAAACTTATTAGCACAAAAATAGACTGATTTAAAATAATGCCAAAAATCGGTTTGTAATTAAATATTTCAATTTGTGATTTTACCATAAAAAAAAACCCCCCCTCAAGATTTTTTTGAAATGCTATACGCGCAATTTCGTGGTTTGCAATTCATTTTTAGGACATGTAGAGGTGCTCTATAAAAAATAACATACAAAGTTTCGGTATTAGCATGTTAAATACGTTCTAAAAAAATAAACACGGAATGGAAATTTTTCCTTTTTTTTTAAATTTAACACGAGGTGCAGAATAGGTGTGGGATATGTAATTATAATAGTAGCATGCTAATGTTGTTACGAACAGTATGAAACATACGGAATTCAAAAGAGTAAACCATATTAATGTGTTAGTGTATAAATGTACGGAATAGGTACTGGAAAACGCACTTTTCCGTATTAGTACCTTTTCAGTATTAAAAACACAAAGGCATGAGACATATAAAATGCACATGGGATTTACAGAGAAATATAAATCCCGATGTGCTTCGTGTCTTGTGTTCATACTTAATACATCATGTAATAGCAGTGCATACAAACAACGTACGGAAATACGAATTCTGTATTAGTATTAGTATGGTTTCCGTACTAGTACTAGTACGTATTCCGTAAATTCCGTGTCTGTTTCATATTAATATGTATGTATCCTGTCTGTACTTATACCGTCCGTACCTTTTGCGCCTTTCATTGGAAGATTCCATATGGTAATCCAAGAAAACATACTACTATTATTATTTAAAAAACCCGATTTATACAAGAACAAACTTATGATTTAAATTTTGTGACTTTATAAATTCATAATTAACAAAAAAAAGATAACAGGATTGAAAATAAGTTTGCTTTGCATCTAAAAAATAAAGAACAAAGCTCATGGTTTTTTAAAAAAAAGAGAGATCATATATAAAAGGTATAGGAATAAAAGCCTTCAATAAATAAATAGTAAAAATAACATAATTTACCTTATTTAAAATAAAAATACAACCTTACAACTAAGAATGTATTAAAGTTAAAAAGAGAAATCTCTTATAAAAGTATGATTTTTATAGATTTTGTTGATCAAATACCCAATGTCTATCTAGAGGTTGGCACCGCGCAAAAATTCTTTAACCGGTTAATTAACCGTTAAAATTAAGAGTTAACCGGTTAACCG